TTTTCTGCCACGTGACATTTCTGCTTGTGCTCACTTTTACTTGTAGAACATACTGGCAAGATTTGAACACTAAACTTCGAAATATCCAGTATATAAAAGTGCACAGTAGCAATTCGCAACAATGAGTTACACCATGATAATGCAAGGAATATAAAAATTCGAGAGTCAAACGAGTATTGTACACATTGTAATTCGAGTACACATTGCCAAGAAAATGGGTGTGCAAATTCTTTTTTGATCCACTCTATTACTATTTTTGGGCCCATGTTCATTAATCTTTTTAACTACCAAATAGTTGCCAATCTTCTGGTAAAGCTTCCTTATTAAGTCTTCCTTATATAATACGTTGTTGTCCAACAGGAAAAAAGCAAATTTAATTCCTGTCAAAAAATTAAAAGTATGTAACATGAGTACTCACAAGTAATGTTTTTTGATACTGTACAAAATTTTATTTTAGTTAAGAGTCAAAACAGTTTTAATCTATGATATAACTTAATAATAAGCACACTAAATGTCAATGTATTTACTAGAATATAGGTCATGTCGTAATAAGTTAAATTATTGCCACTAGATGAAGAAAACATTACTTACTTAATATTACCTCCATTAGTTTGTCAAAGTTTTTAAAGTGCAAAAATTTGAAGTACACGTGTTCGCTTTAATTGTGCTGAAAAAAAGATAACAATTAGATGCATAGTTTATATAGTTTATATTGACATCAAAAAATGAACTGATTCAAATGAACTGATTGTTCTACGATTATTTCCACAAAAATTTTTTATCTATAAATGATAAAACAGTTTTTATCATCTACGCAATATTACTTGTGGTTCTCGTTTGGAAATATTAATAAAGCATTTAACGAGATTAGTAAATAATTGATACGAATTAAAACAGTTGCGTTGTTTCATCAGAAATTACGTTCGAGGCACCGTTCCGACCTCACGCGAGTAATTATACGAATAGCCAAAGGTTAAGACTTGTTTGCTTGTTTCGACGAGTACTACACGCTCCTGAAGTTCCGCGCCAAACTATTTTTAAACACCATGCATAATACACGTGAAGCTAGCCGATTTTAATAACTTCGTCTCGAGATGACCATCGAATCTCACGAATCTGTAGAATCAATTTCTTTTAGTTGTCAACACATTGTTAACACATTGTTAGTAACACATTGTCACGAGTTAATTTGTCGTGTTTGCATCAGCTATTTTAATTTTGGACACTCGGGGTAATACACAGGATATCATTCACTTTGTTATAAAAAAAAAATTACTTTTATTAATATTCAGGTTTTTATATTATTTTGGTGTTTCAATGAATTATATGTAGACACTTTGATTGCTCGAGTGAATATGAGATATATTGTAGTGATGTGGAAACTGACAGTTTCTCGGAAAACGGAACCTAACCTAAAAACCTTCTTCAGATATCAGGCCTGCAAAACTTTGCAAATTTGCAAAAATCTGTTGTGTACCATTAGACGTAGGCAATTGCTATATAATTTATCACACTAAAAGAAATTACTAAAATATATGTATAAAATTCATTTTGTACAATGAAAATTTCATCTATGAAATAATGGCCAGCGACGTGAGATTTACGCAGTGTGTTAACTCTATTAATCAATTTCTTTTAGTTATTAACTCCATTAGCTGGCGGAGAGAGAGGTGGGCCCCCACCAAGCTGAACATTTTTGAAACCTCGCCGGAACTTCTTTACGATACCCAGGTCAACCGTTCCGGAGGAGGAAACGACACCATTGCGGTAACTCGTTGCGCCCGCGTTCGTTGCGCACGAAGATCTCCGGCACACCGAGTTTGCGACCGCGTTACCAAAGTGCTTGTCCTTATCCGCCATTTCACCGGGGAGCCGTTGATAATCATTCCCTTCCCCTCCCGCAGCACCTGTTTCGTTAAATGCCTGCGAACCAAACGATTCCGAATTTAAAAGAAGAAACCACCAATCCTTTCTTTTCTTTTTTTTTTTTTTCTCGAGAGAGAGAGAGAGAGAGAGAGAGAATATTCTGATTACTTTCATCTCGCTGAATAAGAGAGAGAGAGAAAATGAGTTTTTCGAAGGCTCGATTCGAGCCAATGTGGACGCCGATTTTTCCCGAAAGAAAATATTCTCTTTGTAAAATATCTCACGCAGAATTTCATATCTGACTGTTAGCGATTATTGCTAGGCGAACACGCTATTAATCGAGCGCGTGATAGAAATTTTAGTTTTGTGCGAAATGCTTTCACGAGATAGAATATATATCACTGACGCCATTCTCATTAAACGCGAAAAATTCGTATATCGACGATTAACAGAGGTGGAGGAGGCCCTGAAGCAGAAGCCCGATCGCATTTTCATTGGCCGCGGGAATGAAGCAGAGACGCTTTCGGCGATCGGGAATTCCGCGTCGCGAACCTAATGAAATCGTTATAGATTACCGGCCTTTGAAACACGGATCGCGAAGAATTACAGCATGACTCGGTTTAATAAGAGCTGCCGCCACCAGCCGAAGGTACCGTGGCCCTGTTTCCGGTGAAAAAAGAAGAGAGA